AACAGCTGCAATATTGGTCAAACTGTAGTGAGTCTATTGATCTGCTGAGTGTGAGGCGGCAGTAGGGGTTCTGGTATTGCAGAAAATGCCAAGGCTATCAGCAAATCGGATTCAGGAAACACAGAACCGTTGTGTGTGTGTGTGTGTGTGTGTGTGTGTGTATATATATATATATATATATATATATATATATATATATATATATATATATATATATATATATATATATATATATATATGATCCAAAAATTAGTAGACCAAATAATATGTTATATATATATATGATCCAAAAATTAGTAGACCAAATTAATATGTTTTTTAATGCAATTTGTCAAGTTTAAAAAAAAACCATCTTTAAATCTTTTTATTTTTATTTGAAAAACTGTTAGGGTCAATATTATTTGCAAATTTATTTATTTTCTTTTTTTTTCAGTTGTCTACAGAACTTTTGTCTTAATATAAAGATGAAAGTTGTTTAATTCTATAGGATGCCTTACAATATTATTTTGTACTTATAACGTTTATTATTCAGTACTGAAGCCAAAACTGGAGCTAACAAAATAATGATCCAAAAATTTGTAGACCAAATTAATATGTTAGGGAAAAATATTAAATAGTTTTATTAAACAAAAATATATAAAATGCTATTGATGTTATGTACTTTGTATTTTTTGTTATATATATATATATATATATATATATATATATATATATATATATATATATATATATATATATATTGCGTGATTTAATATATTATCTTTCTATTTCTAAAGATGTTCAGTGTCTAAAATACATTTTAATAAATATTTCCTATAAATAAATCTGTGTTGTTTTATTAAAAACACTTTCATTAATGTAAACTTGATGAAGAAAAATGCCTGTATGTTTTATATGTGCCAAAAACAAATCAATCTAAGGCGTAACGCCATCTAACTGCAAGACATTTAAGGAAAAAAAAAATTAATTGCTGCAGTTTCTGAAATGCTCTGGGTGTAGCTACTGTACCTTATCTGGACCCTTACAAAGGAAATGAACTACACCATGGGAGAATTTCCACAGCAGGTCACACCCTTGACATTGAATGGATTTACACTGTACTGGTGTTGACTAACAGCCTGCTCCAACACAAAGCTGGCTATCCAGGAATGATCATAGCAAGCAGACACTACAAAGCCAAAGAGTGTATAATGCAGCATAAGAGAAGCCGAGAGCACAGTATCATGTGGAGAGCAATATGCTGATGGTAATTACTAATGATTACTCCACTACACGAGCCTGGAGCCGCCAAAAACGATGCAGTGACTCAAGATTAACTGGAGCTTAATGAATGACATGGTGTGATGCTTTTTTAAAGGTCCACTTTCAGACTGGCTGATTGCTCAAGCAATTTACAGTCTGCCACAAGCAGATTGCACTACTAAACACTCAAAAGAGAACTTACTATAATACAAATATGATATACTCATGCACAAAATAAAAGAGCAATGTTTTGAACACGTACATAATTGTAATTTCATGGTGTTTGCTGATATACTGTGCCTTTAAAGGTCCAGTGAAATTAAAATAACGTTTTATGGTTGCTAGTATCAGTATGTTAGCCTTAAAGGGTATCTGTAAGCTAGTGTGGTACAAAACAATGACAAAATTCATGTTTAGATAACTGATCCAAACATGTAAAACTTGTAGTTAGTCACTTCCACCTAAATGGATCAATGTTTTTTTTTTGTTTGTTTTTTTCACGTCAGACGTCACAGACATGTCACTTGTATACTTTTAAATTGGGCAACAGTGTAGCTGTCAATATGGTGAATAAAGCCCGGCCTTCTATTAAAGGAGCCAATCAGCGATCGCTGTTTGGCGAATAAAGCCTGCCTTCTAGTACAGGAGCCAATCAGCGATCGCTATACAATGACAATTCTCCAGGGGAGGGGATCGGACCAGATGCGAGTTTCTGCAGATTTTGTGGGATACGAACATTTAGAAATTAAACTAAAGCCTGACTATCTAAGACCAGGCTGGAAATGGCTGGAAACCCCTCTAAAACCAGCATGGTCTACCAGCTAAAACCAACCAACCAGCCTAGGCTGGTTTAAGCTGGATTTTTCAGTAGGGTCCCCATTCAAACAGAATGCCCAAGCATTCTGCCTGAGAGGCGTTTCAAAGATGGTCGCCGAGTGAACTGACTTGCCTTAAACGGACTTGAAGGGCCTCAGTTTCTTATCAAATCTTCTGACCAATCAAATGCTCTCTAGCATAGATATATACACTAGATGTCGCATAGGGACCCTGAGCATGCGTCACGTAACGAGCAAACAAAGAAAACAAAGCACAAAGGCAGAACATTTCATAGGTAAGATTAAGTTTTTTACGTTTTTGTATGTTCTGAACTTTTGTGATAAACAGGTAGCATTATTGATGATAACAGTCACTTACTGCGTTCACCAAAAGGCAAAGTAGCTCCAACTCGCACTTAATACTCGGCGTATGCTAGTTTTGTTGAATAAAATCAACAAACAATGCAAAAGAAATATGACAACGAGATGCTGCGCTGCCAAAAACCACAGTCACAGCCACAGTCCTCCACTGTTCCTTGGTCCCGCATTCATTTCAAAGGAGCGCTACCCTGTTCCAAAATGGCGGCTCTATTGACGCATTCCTTCCAATAGACAACAACAGGATAGGCGACATCTAATATATATATCTATGGCTCTCTAGTATCTGACATGCCCCGCCCCCTTCAAGACGCTTCACATTTGCTTTCATTTGATGCGCTTGACACTCACACTGGCAGAGCATTAATTAAACAAAACGCTATTGGCTGTTTGTGAAAAGGGGAGGAGCTACTATATGCATCACCGTCTCTTCACGTTTCAGTTGAGATTATGTCAAACCTCGAATAAAAAATGCACATTTTAAAGCACATAATGAGACCTTTAAGTAGGGCTATTTCATACATATGACAGTAAATATATTTAAATAATGATGATCATTTAATATATTTTTTTTTACAATGCAAATAAGTGGCCGAAATAAGTGTCATGCGAGATGTGATATGCTGTTGTTAGCCACACAAAACAGATGTCACAGGGAACTTACTATAGTTAAAATACTAGTTATTCACAAAACAAAAAAGTACCATGGTAAAGCTGTGTTTTGAAGACAAATATAGTGGTAATTTCATGATATATTATATATTGTGCCTTGACTACTACATAAAATCACAGTAAACATATAAAAATGAAAATCATTTGATTCAGAATGACAATCATATTTACTAAAATAAATGGAAATCATCAATTTACTAAAATAAATGGAAGATATTCACCATGCTAGATGTGATATGTTGTTAACCACGCAAAGCAGATGGTACAGGGAACTTGCTATAGTAAACATGCTATAATTATACACAAAACAATAAAGTACTATTACTAATCTATCTTTTAAACACATAAAAGTAATATCGGATGCACTGAGATATTGTGCTTTTAAGTAAAAATACAGTAAATAAATATATAAATAGTTGATCTTTTGATTCTGAATGACAGTCATGATTATGTACTTTTTTAAACCTCCAAAAAATGACAGAAATTTACCATGTGAGATGTGTTATGTTGTTAACCACACAAAACAGACGGCACAGGGGCAGGGTGGATTTAGTGATTTGGGGGCCCTAAGCAAGTCCAAGCACGGGGTCCAAAAGTCCTAAAATGCACTCTTTCGACTTTTATTTTATTTATTTAGTAGTTATATATATATATATATATATATATATATATATATATATATATATATATATATATATATATATATATATATATATCACTCAAACTTCTTTTCTACATTTTATCTTAATAAAATCTCCACATATTAAGTGATCCGTTTTCTTAAAATGCAATTTACAACTAAAAATACAACAAAAAATAATTAAACTGCTCTTTGATTGGGGGTGGTGGACAAATTTGTGTCGATGTAATACTATTTTATATTATTATAACATGACATTACACTATTATAATAATATTCCATTTTATTTTATATTAAATAATATTCATTATGTTTAAACTATATTTGACTCTCACCATACAAAGTATGATAGAAACCATTGCTATATATAGTTTAAAGGTATAGATATTTATTGGGGGCCCCGAGATTTTCTGGCACCCAAGCGGCCACTTACCTTGCTTATTGGTTAAATCCACCCCTGCACAGGGAACTTACTATAGTAGTTAGTTAAAATACTACAGTATAGGTATGCATAAAAAAGCCAAAAAGTACCATGCTAAAGCTGTTTTGAACACATATAAAGCTCTTCAATAGTGGTATGCATCATGGTTTCGCTGATATACAGTGCCTTTGTGTATATGTATCGTGTGTATATATATATTGTAAATACACAAATGAAAGATGATCATGTGATTCTGAATGACAATCATGATCATGTACAAAAAAATGACAGAAATTGACCATGTGAGGTGTAGTATGTTGTTAACCACACCTTTTAATAATTTTATCATCATTTAGTTTACTAATTTTCATGATGGTGAGCACACAATAGATGAATGTGCACATCATTAATTTCAATATACTTATATAGCCCATCAAAGCACAATGATATAGCCCAATGGGCTCCCGTCTGGCCAGATGTAGTTTTCCGGAAATGCACACTATTAACGCATGTAAATACTGTACATGATGTATAATTTATTTAGCATGCGAGCACATAGTATCTTCTATCAAGAGTGATGTGTGACCTTGTTGAGAAGAGCGCGCGCGCGTGTGTATATGTGTGCCGATACAATAGACTGACCGGATGGATGAGCCGGACACATGAACCCGCCTGACCGGCTCTTTCTCCGGCGCGTGCACATACCTGTGAAGTGCTTGAGGGTCGCCTCGCCCTGGACCCACAGGCTGAGCACTTGCTGCACCGACAGATTAATGGAGTAATCCTTGTTCATGTTCGCGCCGGGCGGCTGGAGCGCGGCCCTTCTGCTCAGAAATCTGCCCGAGGATGGAGGACACATGGAGGCTCTTCACCGGCGCCGCTGCTCGCTGGAGGAGGATGGCAGAGCGCCGGTCCGTCTCATCAGCTCAGGGGCCATGATGGGTACGGCTGACATCCACACACACACATTCACACACACACACACACACATACACTCACACACTTTCGCATTCACGCGCACTCTCTCGCTGTCACACACACAGATGCACGCGCGCGCGCACCGGCGCTTCTGCAAGGCGCTTAAAGGCGCCGCGCTCTTAAAGGGAGGTGAGCATCACATGTACAGTACGACCAAATACTGCAGTTTATGAATGAAATTGTGTACTATTCTATCTATCTATCTATCTATCTATCTATCTATCTATCTATCTATCTATCTATCTATCTATCTATCTATCTATCTGTCTGTCTGTCTGTCTGTCTGTCTGTCTGTCTGTCTGTCTGTCTGTCTGTCTGTCTGTCTGTCTGTCTGTCTGTCTGTCTGTCTATCTATCTGTCTATCCTAATTAAATTTTTGTATTTTTCTATATGGAATAATTTTATAAGAACTTGAATAAATTGTATTGCTGTTGTTGTTGATAGTAGTAATAAAAATATCAGTATTCCTAGGTAATGTTTATACTGTATCGATTTATAAAAGTGTGTATATTGCTGTTGGCACAATTTCTAACTAACTACGACTGCTCATGCAATATTTAAAAAAAAATAAAAGATTAAATGTACTATTACCACTACCACCACAACTACTTCTATCCCTATTATTATTATTAATATTCATCCATTCATTCATTTTCTTGTCAGCTTAGTCCCTTTATTAATCCAGGGACTACAGCGGAATGAACCGCCAACTTATACAGCAAGTTTTTACACAGCAGATGCCCTTCCAGCCACAACCCATCTCTGGGAAACATCCACACACACATTCACACACACTACTGACAATTTAGCCAACCCAATTCACCTGTACCGCATGTCTTTGGACTGTGGGGGAAACCGGAGCACCTGGAGGAAACCCACGCAAACGCAGGGAGAACATGCAAACTCCACACAGAAACGCCAACTGAGCCGAGGTGACCCAGTGACCTTCTTGATGTGAGGCGAACGTGCTACCTACTCGCCACTGCGTCGCTATTATTAATGTCATTATTATTAATATTACTATTATTATAAATAATAATAATGGGCATCAAGGTGGCAAAGTGGGTAGAATAATCATCTCACAGCAAGAAGGTCGCTGGTTCGAGCCTCAGCTGGGTCAGTTTGCATTTCTGTGTGGAGTTCGCATGTTCTCCCCGTGTTGGCGTGGGTTTCCTCCAGGTGCTTCCCCCACAGTCCAAACACATGCACTATAGGGGAATTGAAGAAACTAAATTGGGCGTATATGAGAAGGAGTGTGTATGGGTGTTTCCCAGTGATGGGTTGCAACTGGAAGGGCATCCACTGCATAAAACATATGCTGGATAAGTTGGCGGTTTATTCTGCTGTGGTGACCCTAGATTAATATAAGGACTAAGCCAAAAAGAAAATGAATAATAATAATAATAATAATAATAATAATAATAATAAAATAGTTTCAGAAATGTATACTATGTTGTTAACAACAACAAATATTTCAAGCCATTATATTAATACTAAAAATAATTGTTATTGTTATGTATATTAACAAAAAGCTTTTGGATAGAAAATCAAGTTTAATGCTACGGAAAATGAGAAATATTTGTATATTTAAATATTAAAGTATTTAAAAATAAATTAATATTATTAGGATCATCATCAGTAATCATAGATTTAAATAATCAGTTTAAGCATAGTCCAATGGTTCAATTAAAACTGGTAAACAATGAACAGGACTGTTTAATTTAATATCAATAACATTAATCATATAACATGCTATTATTATTTTTGACAATATTAATGATTCATTCATTCATTTTCTTTTCAGGTTAGTCCCTTTATTAATCAGGCGTCGCCACAGCGGAATGAACCGCAAACTTATCCAGCATATGTTTTACACAGCAGATGCCCTTCCAGCCGCAACTCATCACTGGGAAACACCCATACACACTCCTTCACACACACTATGCCCAATTTAGTTTATTCAATTCCCCTATAGCGCATGTGTTTGGACTGTGGGGGAAACCGGAGCACCCGGAAGAAACCTACGTCAACATGGGGAGAACATGCAAACTCCACACAGAAATGCCAACTGACTCAGCCAGGGCTCGAACCTGCAACCTTCATGCTGTGAGACGATCATGCTACCCACTGCGCCATCGTGACGCCCCATAATGGATTTATATAAATATTAATTTGAAATAAAATTATAAAATCATCATTATCTCCAGCATTATTCATTTGACAATTCACATAGCTTTCGTTTAGGTGTTAATCCTTGTAGATTACTACCTCATTAAAATCATCATGAAGTGAATTTTTAGCAGTCATTGCTGGAACTCCATTAGAATATTTATTTTATCTTGTCTTGTCTCCTCTTGCTGTTGCTCTGCTGTGTTAGATAATGTGTTGCTGTTCTGGAAAATTCCACCGAAAAATCTATTTTAGGACTGACAGTGTTCACCTTAAAATGCCTATATCTAGGAATTGAGACAATAACATTCGCTCAGAATTTCCCTTAAAGAGCCCATATTATGGGTTTTTGAAAATTGCCCTTCATGTAGTGTGTAACACAGCTCTAAGTGAAGTGAAGTATCCAGCTAAGGCTTAAATCTGTTAGTGTACAGTGTTTAAAACGGTTGATTCATCTAGTCGATGAATCAACGATGAGTCGACTCATAGTGCTTCAAACGAGTCGCCTTGATACCGAGTCATTAGGTGTTTCGCCATGACGTACGAATGAAACCAAGTTATTCACATGCACGCGCAAACCCGTGAGATTTCGAACCGGCGACCTTCCGCATGGGAGTCGGTTGCTCTAACAAGGAGGCTTAAGACCATGGCGTCTAGTGTCTGTCGCTGGAGCATCTTTAGAGGTCAGAGGAGTTAGGCTTACCTGCACAGCACACACTAGCTGGCCTCCGTTACACTCACCCCCCTAAACCTCACTCCCATCCGGGTCACGGCACCAATTTAACCCCACCGGTTTTACACCACCCAACCCGCTCCAAGCTGGTATCGAACCGGCGACCTTCCGCATGGGAGTTGGTTGCTTTAACAAGGAGGCTAAAGACAATAGCCTCTAGCGACTGTCGCTAGAGCATCTTTAGAGGTCAGAGGAGTGAGGTTTACCTGCACAGCACTTACTAGCTGGCCTCCATTACACTCACCCCCCTAAACCTCACTCCCCTCCAGGTCACGGCACAAATGTAACCCCACCAGTTCTACGCCACCCAACCCGCTCCGAGCTAGTATCGAACCGGCGACCTTCCGCATGGGAGTTCTTCAGAGGAGTGAGGTTTACCTGCACAGCACACACTAGCTGGCCTCCGTTACACTTAGTCCCTTTATTCATCAGGGGTTGCCACAGCAGAATGAACCGCCAACTATTCCAGCATGTTTTACACAACGGATGCCCTTCCAGTTGCAACCCAGTACTGGGAAACATCCATACTCTCTCAAATTCACACACAAACACTACGTCCAATTTAGTTTATTCAATTCACCTATAGTGCATGCAGTTGGACTGTGGGGGAAACCAGAGCGCCACGCCAACATGGGGAGAACATGCAAACTCCACACAGAAATGCAAACTGACCCAGCCGGGACTCGAAACCAGCAACCTTCTAAAACCACTTCTAAAAAAAAAGAATGGGCTTATTGCACTCAGATTAAAACCTGAACATGATCTAATGGGATTTTCATTGGGAAATTGACATAATATCTTCTCCTCCCTGATCATTTTTCCACTATATGCTGGTCTGATATTTAATCTTGCGCTTGCTGTATTGTTGTACTGTATGCTCACAGCATCTGCTTTCTCACTGTACAGAAATGCTCATTATTAAACAGTGACTGAATGCCAGGTGATGTGAAGAGGACACCTGACACCTGAGCAGAGAGTGGGGAAATTGACCTTTGTGAAGAAATACAGCTCCTCTAAAGGGCCCAAGGGCGTGTTTCCAAAGGCAAAGAGAGTTATTCAGCTCCAAGGACATTGTGGGACTTGAAAGCATCACTAGTTGAACATAAACAAACCTAAAGCCCACATAAATTAATAGGATACATACACAGGGACTTTTCATTTTCAGTGAGCTGGCTTAGTTCCAGTGGTGTAAAGTACTTAAGTAAATGAACTTTGTTACTTTGCTTAAGTATTTTTTTGGGCTACTTTGTACTTGTACTATTAAAAATATAAGCAACTTTTACTCCCTACTTGACTACATTTTTGATTGAATATTTGTACTCTTTACTCCACTACATTTGAACGGACGCTTATAGTTACTCGTTACATTGTGATTGTGCGTGACAAGTCGGGACTGATGACCGTCCATGGCCTTATCTGAAAGAAATGTTTTCATTTGCCGATATGCAAAATGCCTCTTACAGGATGCAGTGTCTACTATAATAAGTGCTTTTAAGAATTTATCGGAAAATTTGAGAAAACACATTGAAGTAAGAGTCTATTTAATGTTAATTTATTGTGAATTAAGTGACTTTAATACAGTTACTGTTATGGCAAAAAGCACTGGGACATGACATGACTATGTTTTAGCTTAATGTTTTTGTGCAATGTGAATAAATGTTTTACTGATATTATACATTTTGCATCAGGTGCATTAAGCTGTGAGTTTGTGATGCATTTTTCATTTAATTTATATGTAGTTTATTAAGTTGCAAAATAACACTGATCCTCTTTGTTCAATACAGAGAAAACATCCTAATCAATTGAAAAACTACTCAAAATAAAAGTATTGCCCCCCTTTGAGACGGTGAGGTGAATCACGTGAAAGTCAGCCTTTTTTTTTTTTTACTACTTTTTTACTACTTTTTTTGTTTTTTTTATTGTTTGTGCCATTTTGAACATTTGAGTTTGAGACTTTTTGTTTTATTTTATTTTTTTCATCTATTTTGTTCTGCCATTTTGAAACATTGAGGTTTTCAATTTAATTTCTTATATTAGGAAATAAAACCTTTCTTGTTGTTCTTTGAGCCTATATTCAGTATGAGTAAAATACTTAAGTTCTTTTAAAATTGGATACTTTAATACTTTTACTCAAGTCTTATTGGAATTGGTGACTTGTAACTTGTAATGGAGTAATTTTTACAGTAAGCTATCTGTACTTTTACTCGAGTATGGTTTTCAGGTACTTTTTACACCTCTGCTTAGTTCTGGTAAACTGTCATGACGTTACACAATCGCTGCGTTTAAGATCTGATTTCTTTACAGATCAGTGATCTGCGCTGCCTGGTTGATATACAATATAAAGTGGGACTCAGACCGGACAAGAACCACTTAATTAAATTCCTTTGTCCCACGCCATGTCTTTAAAATATTGAAATTTATTTTACCACAGTATTTTCAAGAGCGTCTTCCATGGTCTTCCATCTCGTTTTACGCTTGAACAACTAAGTGAATGCTTAAGTCTATTTAACTGATTATATATTAATCAAATGACATCATCTACGCTGTGATAGAAGCCTTATGAACGAACCGAGTTCACCAAGTTTATCGGTGGCTGTAAAACATTGCCATTCAAGCATCTTTGAGAAAACAACAGTAGTTCTTCAAACTTCTAAAATACTATAATAAATCCATACATGTGTAATATATTCATATGTCTACCTCAGTCGAGCAGGCAGTAGTCATTTGAGTGTTAGTCAGGTAAATTAGACACAGATTAGCATAATAAACTATGCTATTTGCATATCAAACACTTACACACACAAACCCAAACACTCTTCTCCCGCGTGATTCCTTAACCTTGAATTGAATGAATGACTGCTGAAAGACTAAATTAATAAATAAATAAACAAACGTCACATTGCAAGAAACTGTAATGGAAAATTCCATGTAATAATGTTGTTTTGATCTCCTCCAGCAGGTGGCGGCCTTTACTTACATTGCGCCGAATGACCCAGTAGTTTTCCAGAGTCTAACAGCTCTGTACTGATTCAGGTTTTCACTGACATAAAGATAATAAAAAGCAAACAAATTTCACGATGAAATATTAGGCAACTCTTTTATTTGAACTTATGCATCTTGACACATATCTTTGTTATCAGTGAAAATAACTGACTGATTAGAACCTAATATTGTTAATACATCCATCATCCGTCCCTATATCTGTCCATCCAACCATTCACCTACCCAAATCTATCTATCTATCTATCTATCTATCTATCTATCTATCTATCTATCTATCTATCTATCTATCTATCTATCTATCTATCTATCTATCTATCTATCTATCTATCTATCTATCTATCTATCTATCTATCTATCTATCTATCTATCTATCTATCTATCTATCTATCTATCTATCTATCTATATATCTGTCTGTCTGTCTGTCTGTCTGTCTATCTGTCTATCTATCTATCTATCTATCTATACTCACATGCCAATCAATATGTCCGTCCATCTTGTTAATCCATTCATCCATACGTCAATTGATTTGCTCATCCATCCATTCATCTTTCATCAGTCCATATATCGATCTATCCATCCTTCAATCCATCCACCAACTCACCCAAATTTACCCATCCATCCATCCATCCATCCATCCATCCATTCATCCATCCATCCATCCATCCATCCATCCATCCATCCATCCATCCATCCATCCATCCATCCATCCATCCATTCATTCGTCAATCGTTTTGCCAATCCATCCATCAATCAACTGTGCATATATCCATCTATCCACCTACCCAAATCTACTTATCTATCCATCCATCCATTCGTCAATTGTTTTGCCCATCCATCCATCCATTCATCCATTAATCAACCGTGCATATATCCATCTATCCATCTACCCAAATCTACTCATCTATCTATCCATCCATCTATCCATTCATCCATCCATCCATCTTTTATCCGTCCATATATCCGTCTGTCCATCCACCCACCCAAATCTACCCATCCATTAATCCGTCCATCATCCATCCGCCAACCGTTTTGCTCATCCATCCATCCATCATCCGTCCATATATCCATCTATCCATCCACCCAACCAAATCCACCAATCCATCCATCCATTCATCTATCCGTCAGCCATTTTGCCCATCCAACCATCCTTGCATCCATCCATCTATCCATTTACCCACTCGAATCTACTCATCTTTCAATCCATCCATCCCTCCAACAATCCATCCATACATCTGTCAATCTTTTTACCCATGCATCCATCCATCAATCAATCCATCCATTATCCGTCCATATGTCCGTCTATCATCCACCCACCCAAATCTACCCATCCTTCAATCCATCCGACAACAGTTTTTCCCATCCATCCATCCTTTCATCCTTCCACCCATCCATCCATTCATCCATCCATTCATATATCCATCTATCCATCCACTCACCCAAATCTACCCAGCTTTTAATTCATCCATCCCTCCATCAATTCATCCATCCATCTGTCAATCTTTTTGCCCATGCATAAATCCTTCAATCCATCCATTATCCGTCCATATATCCATCTATCCATCCACCCACCCAAATATACCCATCCTTCAATCCATTCATCCATCCATCTATTATCAATCCATATATCCATCTTTTCATTCACCCACCCAAATCTACCCATCTTTCAATCCACCAATCCATCCATCTATGAACCTTTTTGTCCATTCATCCATTCATCCATCCATCAATCCATCCATCTCTAAGTGGTGTGTAAATCTGCACGTGTGAGTGGGCTGTTGTTAGTGAGTAGCAGAATCTAAGGGAGTGACATTCCTGGAGGAGTGTAATATTCATTCGTCTTCTCTTCACACTACTCTTTGTTCAGTATATTCTCAGATTGTTGTCTTCAGGTGACTCAGGTCTTGAGCAGCTCATCTGAACATGCCAGCAGTCAGAGTTTGACCTGATTCACTGAACGCTCGAGTCTCAGCCTGTGTCACAAACACAAACCCACAGAACAAACGCAACACGACACCAAACCTATTCATCTCCACTGACCTGCCCTTTCATTACTTTTCTTTTCTTTTTTTTGGCTGCTGGTTCTTTGTCATAAACTTTGGCTCAGTGTGCTTTGATTCTCAATTAAGGGGACTGTGTTACATGCTGTGTTTATGTATTATTATTAGTAGTAGTAAGATAACTAACTGAAAGGCTTACTAATTCAAAATGCAAATCGTGATTTTTTTTTTTACTCTTTTGTGTACTCTAATCTTAAAATAAGTTTAAAAAGGATGTAAGGAATAGTTGATGATGGGCCATTGAATTATTAAAAATAATAAACTTTTGAGGTAGTAATGCAGCCACAACACAAAGCCGATACAGCTCGGGTAATAATAATTTTTAGAAAATTATTGCACATTTTAGAATGATCATCGGCCAATCAGAATCAAGCATTCAATAAATATTAATTTTATTAAAACAAAATTGCTAAATAAAAAAGTAAAAATAATTATAAATACAAAATAATTATTAATTGTTATAATAATAGTAGTATAAGTAATAATAATAATAATAATAATAATAATAATAATAATAAAAATATTAATGAATTAATAAAATTTTGTAAAAATAATAATAATAATTAATATAAATAATAATAATTAAAATAATTACTATAATAATAAAATTGATAAATACAAAATAATTATTAAATGTATTATTAATAATAATACATTATTATTATTATTATTTTTATTGTAAAATTGTTAAATCAATAGCATTTTGTAAAAAATTATTAATACCAAATAATTAATTATTTTATTAATTATAACAACAATAATATTAATAAAAGTAATAAATAATAATAATCACAATAATAATAAAATTGATAAATTAATAACATTTCATAAAAATAATACACAATTATTTTTGTTTTATTAAGAATACTAATATTAAAAATAATAATAATAATAATAATAATAATCAATAATAATAATTATTAGTATTAGCATTATACAATTGATAGATAATTACATTTTGTAAAAATAAATAATATAACTAAATAATTAATTATTTTATTAATAATAATAACAACAATACCAGTAATAAATAATAATGATAATAATAATACAATTGATAAATGAATGACATTTTGTAAAAATAATACATAATCATTAATTGTTTTATTATTAATAAAATTCAAAATAAAAATAATATCAATAATAAATAATTATTATTATAAAAAATGCATAAATAAATTACATTTTGTAAAAACAATTAGTATTACTAAATAATTAATTATTTTATTAATAATAGTAACAATAACAATAATAAATAATAATAACAATAAATTTGATTAATTAATAACATTTAGCAAAAAGAACACAATAAGTATTAATTGTTTTAATAATAATATTAATAATAATAATAATAATAATATCAATAATAATAATTATTATTATTATTTTAAATTTGATAAATTAATAGCATTTTTTTAAATAATTAAAATTTCATAATTAAAAACTACAACAACAACAACAGTAATAAATTGTTATTACTATATAAAATTAAATACTTAAAAAAATGTATGTAAAAAGCAGCAAAGTATACTAAAACCAACTTGATGTAAACAGCCAAACAGCATCATAATCAATCTCTGAAATGTCTTTAAAAACTCAAAGTGTATTATTT